CCAACAATTATTTAAGTTAACGCATCCAGGAAATGATGGTGACGGTGTTGGAAATCACCCGAACGTATATTTTGCTGAGTCGTGCTTGTGAGTTGTCGTGTAGTGGAACAGCTACTGACAAGCTCTCGCTTATATTCAGACACTACGAGGCACCAAAGCTCTCTGAAGAAGCTGAGAAGAAACCGGTACCGACGCGAGTTGAAAAAATGCTTGATGAATAAATAGGTGTGCATCGTCATAAATCTGTTTTTCGAATGAATATTCCAAGAGTTTTTGGAAATACTGAAACTTGATGGCATGGAAGACACCGATCAAGTTCTTGCATGGAAATTCGCTTCGAGATAACTTTGTTGTGCGTCCGGCGTGCTGTTGGATTTTTGAAATGTATTTCTGAGCAGCAATCTTTTGAGCCGCCTGCATCACAGAGAACTAAAAACCCCAGATATCCGCTGGTTCCTCACGTTCTTACGGACGATTTCCTTCTGTGCTGCTTTACATCGATTGTATAGAATCATAAAATCTCTGAAAGAGACAAAAAGGAATTCTATTTTGAGGATTTAACCTACGGATGAGACAGTCTTCTCAATCCAGACGTTTCCTCCGAGAATGCGACATGTTTAACAGTCGTAATGGAATTTTCCGCAGCACCTGATCTCAGCCAGCGCTTTCTGGATGTACAAGAAAGCAGTGAAGATGACAAGAGAATGATCCATGAAGAAATTCGCTTATGAAACGCGTTTATAGTTACAGTGCGACATTCTATACTTACGCGTCATCCAAGCCATAAACATCTCCCTCAAGCTAAATAAAGCGGAGATGTGTGAAGTGCTCCATCGAACACTCTCACCACCCCTTCACCCATTTGATATCTGACGCGACACCAACCAATCAGACGAAGGCTGTCAGCGACGCTCTTAAGCGCACGAGAAAATTTAACCCCCCCATCTACAACACGGAAACACATTACACTTGGAACTCGATTCCTGTTTACCTGTGAACTTGCCATAAACAGTGAATCGGAACTTTCCATCCAGTGTGTGACAGTTTGTATTGTCTAGAGTGGAAAATGAAACAGGTTTTCCTCTCTCCATCTTTGAGACGGCTCGCGCTCTCCAATCTGCTGCTGATCTCTGGCGAGGTGGTTTGTACCGACTGAACGGCTTTGGAATTACGAGGTCGCCTGGGTGACAATATTCATCATTGACAATATCGACAATATTCATCATTGACAATATCGACAATATTCATCATTGACAATATCGACAATATTCATCATTGACAATATCGACAATATTCATCATTGACAATATCGACAATATTCATCATTGACAATATCGACAATATTCATCATTGACAATATCCATACCAGCCTTGGCCTTTTGTCGATCGCTCGTTGGATCTATAAGTGACTTCGGCTCTTTCCAGAGCGGATTGATTTGTTTATTTACAATCAAAAGCATCTGCCCTTTGCCTCTGTAACGCATTTGTTAAACTGGTTGTGAACTGACTACTAAGGTGGAAGAAAAAAACACACTCAAAAAAGCAAGTAAGCACGCATATTCTTCTAAAGTTACAACAATTTACGAGAATTGTTTTCCTTCGTTTTCTCCTGCTGCTGCTTCTTTACAGCGCAGTCGTACCCACCCGTGTAAAAGGCATCCAGCCGTTCTTTGACGACTCCTGAAGCCTTCGAGTTGAGGAAATCGCAAGAATTGTGCTTTACCGTAAACATGGCGATTTTGTTGCATTCTCATTTCGTAAGGACTTCCAGGGAATCCCTTCGATAACTTCTGTATGTTTCCGAATAAGCTGAAGCGCAGAATGTAGAACGAGTTGCGAGATAAAAAAATCTCACCGTGCTGCTGTCTGCTTTGCAATAAAACCTTGGATGGTCTTGGGAATGAAGTTCATCTGTGGGATCGATGGAGCAGCAGAGGAATGTAGTGAATGGATTAAGAGGCACCTGCGGATCCATATAGATCACAAACTTAGAACGAGTGCTGAAGGGATCTTCACGCTGAAGAGAATGACAACCTTGAAGGGGTCAAGAGGAGAGGGTGAGTTCTCACGTCAGGCATCAGCTGAAAAGTGAAGAATTTGATATGAAGTCGCGTTCTTCCTGGTTTTGGAGGAGAGAGAGGCAAACCGAAGCACGAGGTCGCTACATCAGGAACAGATATCGCATTCATCTGACAATTTGGGACAACAAATTTGGGACAACAAATTGGGAGGGATGTATTCAGTTGGACACGCATGTCTATAAACTTACAATGACGGACTCAGGAGTCATTTTCGTCGCATCCACAGCGTATCCGAGCATCAGGCTTTCCCTCTGGGAATGAAGGAAATAAAAGTTTCAGACTCAGATCTCTTACATCGTCTAACGGCCTGGAAAGAGCAAGAAGTTATTAACGATAAAGCTGAAATGCTGTACCATGGCAGGGATGTGTGTTGGCGGATAAGTTGAGTAAAAACAGATACCTGGTGAACTTTCCCACTTTCCTACGAGAAAAAGAGAAAATCAGGAAGGAGATGGAAGAGATGAGATCTTACTGATAGAAATGGCATCCAATTCTTATGAAGATCCGACTCGTTTAAAAAGGTCAAGCATTCAAATATTGGAGTGTTGATAATTCCCTCAATGACACAAATCGCATTCCCGTCCTTCATCATTTTCCATCTGAAAATCACTCGCGTGACAAAATCGACATGGAAAAACCCCTACGCCATTGTGTGTTCTTTTGTTTGGGTCGTTCCCCAAGTCTTGTCGTGCGAAAAATCCGCCGAAAGCACCGCAATAGACCGCTGAGTTTGATCAAACTGTAACCTGAAAAAAAAAACAAGTCTAGGAATGAGCGCGAGCATACTGAACGTGTTTGTAAATATTGATACTTCAACAGACAACTCATCTTTGGCGTGTCTGTTATACACCTACTCGTATATATAAATATCATTTTTGTCTAATTACCTCATTCTATGAATTTGTGGATTGTTGACGATCATTTCTAAAAATTGATGAAACCACTTCCAGAGCTCCTTCCTCCCAGACTCCTCTCCCTAAAGGGACAAAAATGAACGGTCCTGAAACCCAAAAGCATTGAGTCACCGAAATCTCTGAAGGGAAGACAACTGTAAACGCAGCAGCACAACGATCGCTCACCTGTGAAGTCTTCACGTTTCGTCATTCCGTCTCCACTTTGAGACGTGATCGTAAACATGACTTGAATGTCGACAGGCAAACTCAACCCTCCGACATTCCGCTTTGAATAAGAATATAAAAAATCATCTTCAGCAATCATGTCGAGTCGTTCCTGACTAGATAAGTGGTGCAACCCACTCATAGACGGCTCTGTCATGAAGTCTTCCGTTGGAAGTGAACCCCCAATGGATTCAGTTGAGGAGTCCTGAACTGTGAACGCCAAGCAGGGTAAGTCTCCAAGTGACCAGACTCGCTTTTGAAGTGGCTCTCGTCCTAAAAATTTCTTCAGGTGAGGAAGATCTGGTGAGGTTTCTTCCAACACTTGCTGCAATGATCCACCATTACGCCCGCTACGTTGAGCCTGGACATCAATTGTTGTTTGGGATTCGAGCGGAATTGCAGTCACTTCTTCCTGTAAAACGACATTCCCAAGACTCGCAAACGGAACACGATACGCGCTTTGTTTGCCGCTTTTCTGCCATCGACGTTCCGTGGAGTCAAGTCTCTTCGAAATTCGCCGGGATAGAAGACGACTTCTTTCAGCGTCCCAATCTGGACTATCGATCCAAGAAGCGCTTTGAGTGGCCCCGATGAGTGAAGGCGTATGACCCCAAATTCGTGTGTAGTCCAGTTGATCTCGCGTGCCTGAAAACTGATTACTGGATGGCTCTGCATCGGTTTTTGGTGAACCGCATAACACTTGTGGTTCGAGACCTCGCAGGGCTTCATGGTGCCGGAAATAAAATGGAGGACGGATGAGACCAAAAACTTGCAGATGATTTCTCTGAAGGAAAAATAAAAAACTTTTAGAAAGATGCTTCCAATGGATTTATTGATGAAAAAAAATGACATTTCCTCACCACTAAAATGTCATCAATGTCTTGGACAAGCTTCAAAAATTCGCTATGAGACTCAAAAAGATATTCCTGTTTCATAAGACGTAAAACCTAAAAGAGAGAGAAGATGCAAAAATTCAAAAAAATAGAAGACAAGAGCTTGAAGAAACTGTTTTTACCGTCAACGCACTGTTTGCAATCGTCGCTGTAAATATTGCTCTTTTCCTGCCAAATCAATCGGATTGCAAAAATGTTTGCTAACTGATCGCGACAGAATCGTTGAAGATCGAGATTGAGGAACTTCTTCTGGAGGAACAACAAACTCTTGACGGATTGGAAGTTCAGCAATGTGGGCGACGATTGGTGTCTGTTGATGTGGTGATTCAACGGAAGAACCTGGAGGGGATGCCACGCTCCGGGGGGGGTCTTCGTGGCGGGATTCGCTCGAAGGAAGGAGACGCTCTAAAGGCGCGATGTGAGGAAGCTCTTCTGGAGGTTGTTGGACAGCTGTGGGTGACTTTGGTGCCAGAATCGGCGAATCCTGGGGGCTCAATGGAGCACTTTGGAAACGGGGAGGAGATGGGATCTTTCGCGGTAACGGGAGGGGTGCTTGTGATGCCGGGCGCCTGGGGGACCGCAGTTGAGCACTATATCCTGCAGCTGGGATAATGAGTTCTTCTGCATGGTCAACATCCTCCTGGCGCCTCCGACACCAAGAGCACGGAATAAAGGGGAACGAGAAAAGTGCAGAATTTTCAAGTGGATCAGTTCTTCTTGCCGAAATTGGCCGCTGTATCCGGTGATCCTCTGCCATTATAGATACTCAGGAGAGGGCCAGATATGGAGACTCAACATGAGGCGAGAAGAATGCATGCCTTTCAGACATCTTTCAATTTTGATTCGCCAGAAATTTCGACCAGACTTGCGGTTTTTAACGCAGAAAAAAACAACTGCAAGACACCACGATGGGTTGCAAGAAAAGCAAAGTTGCTCCTCCACCTCCCAAAGTTGAAGAGAAAATCCCGGAGAGGCCGATTCCCGCTCCTGTTGAAGAAGTCAAGATGGAAATCATTCCCGAACTTGAACCTCCACAAGTTGTTCCAAAACAGGAAATCCCAACGCAACTGCAACTGGTTGTCGGTAAGACGTCCAGATGCATTTCTCTCTATTTGTTCCAAGATTTTGTGTTTCACTATTTCTCTTCTTTTCAAATAATGATATCCCTTCAAATCGAAAAAAAAAATCCTCCTTTTTTTTCAGATAATGAATCTATCACATGCCACTGCGATATCATCAATGACAGTACTTCACCTCGAGCGCAGATGGCTTCAATTCCTGTGGTCTCAGCGTGACGTTGCCGTTGATTTAAGTTTTTACGCGTGAAATTGCAAGCCACATAGAACTCATTTTTTCAGTCTTATTTTCGTTCCTTATTTTGTTTGATGACTCTGTGCAAGAAGAATGGCGAAACTTTTTTTTCGAGTCTGTGCCAACTCGCAATGCGATCACAACAGGAATTTGGGAGTTTTGGACGCCTGAAAGGAAATTGTGCAAGGGCGTAACTCCTGAGGGCAAAGTGCAGATGGTATGCTTCTAAAGTTGTGATAAAACAAAGATGGCAACTTTACTGGATAACAGCACAGACACACAGACAACGACCAATAGAACGAACTGCGTAGGCCAGACCCCTTGACTGATCATATGTGCCTTTAAAAAAAAGTCATCGTCTATGTGACAACACTTTCCTTGCTGCGAAGAACTTTTTGAACTCTCCCGCGGCAATCTTTCCAAGACGATGCCAGAAAGCGCTTTCAATAGCTGAGCTAAGGCGATGATTTCTGCGTTCGCGATAATTGGATCTCGGGGGGATGTTTTGGTTCATCGTTCATTTCGTGATGATGTCGGCAGGAGAGAAACATTACAATTCAGCAACAAATTTGTAGCAACCCGTGATGTCCGACAAATTCCTCCTGTCAATAGCATTGCGGGTTGCCATTACTTTCATACTGTTCATGGTAACATCAGTCTATAGTGATCTCATTGATCTGCCTGGGTGTCTTCGTTCAGGTGATGTCACTATTTTGGCCGCTACTCGGGTCAACAGCAATACAATGCTTATTTTCGCGTTTTTGTTCAAGTTTGTTGAATTATTGAAGTTCTATTTTGGCCCCGGCCAAATAACAGACAATACAATCCGAAAGCATTTTGTATTGATTTATGAATTACTCGATGGTAAGTTTGTTTTTGCAACCTATTAATTTGACCTTCTATTTATTTGTATTTTGCAATTTTGAATATTGATCACATTTTTACCCGCTGTTCTTATCAGAAGCCCTTGATCATGGTTTTCCTCAAATTCTGGAAATTGATGTTCTTAAGAGATACATAACACAAGGCGGTGCTAAATTGGAAAATATTGTGAGTTTTTTCAACCTCAGAAGGTCCCGCACCACACGGGTGTGTTTTCAGACAAGCCAGCAAATGAAGCAACTGACTGTTCAAGCTACTGGTGTCACTTCATGGAGAGCCGAAGGAATTCGGTACTACCATTCCCCAGCCACCAGCCATCAATGTGTTTCAGATATCGTAAAAATGAAGTCTATCTCGATGTCGTTGAACATGTTAACGGACAAGTCTCTAAGAATGGTAAATAGTAATTATGATTTTCTATATCATGAGTGTTAAACAGGTCACTTGCTGAGCGCGGATGTCATGGGCCAAATTGTCGTTAAGTGTCATTTATCTGGACAACCCGAATGTAAATTTGGGATGAATGAAAAGCTTGCAATTCCCAGTGGGGGATCAACGTAAGGAAGTTGCTACGATGTGCAAGGAACATGGTTCCCGTTTGATTCCCACCCTTAAATGAGTGTTTGATGTGTGTTGGTTTGCACTCATTGTTAACGTAGGCATCACCCACGTGGAAGCCCTGGATCTCCGTATCCTGGTGCAGTTGCTTTGGATGACGTTCGGTTTCATCAGTGTGTCCGTATTTCAAGATTTGAAGCCGATCGTGCAATCACTTTTATCCCACCAGATGGAACATTTGAGTTGATGACGTCAGTGAGGGTCCACCATTGAGGGACACCCCCACCTGCAGACGATTATGATTTTATGGTTATTTAAGTGGTTCCTGTTTCGTAGATATCGAGTAACAGAAAATGTTCGACTCCCAATTAATATTTTAAGCAACATCATCGAGAGGGGGCCGTCATCGGCTGGAGTATTCAATCAAGTTAAAGACGTTGTTCCCTAAGACGGGGTTTGCGTCCAATGTTATTGTTAAAATTCCATGTCCTAGAAATGCTGCTAAAGCAGCTCTTGGAAATTTACGTGAGAAGCCTATCCAAGCGTCTCAAATCGGCCCTACGTCTGCCCTTCAGTCTTGTCCTAGCATCCATTTGTTTTTAATAGACACTGGAAGAGCAAAATTTGACCCCACGCAATCTTGCATCTTATGGAAGTAAGAACAGAAGTCTGAATGGCTCTAATGCAATCATACTTATCATACGAGTTCAGCTTCTATTAAGATTCTGCTCAACGTCTGGAAAGAGCGTCTTCGCCTGACCGCTCGCTGAGTTAGAAGGGCTATCCTTCGCGTCATACTCTTCAACTTTTCTGTTCATTTTCAGGATCAAGAGATTGGTTGGTCAAACTGAGGTGACGCTCACTGCAGATGTCGAGCTTGTTGCATCCGTTAAGGAAACTGTTTGGGTTCGGCCTCCAATAGAATTAGACTTTCAGGTACGACTGTTTTGCTTTTTTGCGAGTTCAAATTCTATTCGTTTTTAGGTTCCAATGTTCACTGCATCGGGATTAACTGTAAGATTTCTACGCGTTTATGTGAGTCAGAAATTAACGATGTCTTGATTGAGATTGATTCTCCCCTCTTAGGAAAAATCTAACTACAAAACAATCAAATGGATCCGCTACATTACGAAGGCTGGCCATTACCAATTTCGTATTTAAGATTTACTACTAGCTAGATTTTTTGTACTCCCTAAGAAAAATATGTTGATTGGCCAGTTCGCCTGAAAACGAATAGAAACTGACAAGCCGGTTTCTGTTGCCAAATTGTCGCCACTCACGAGTCATTCAGAGGCGGAGACTTTTATCAACTTCTTCTATTTTTTTTCGTTGTTATCGCTTTTATCCCTCGTCTCTCTTCTAAGTGGTCGCGAACATTATTGTAGAGGTTCTTCTTTCATTTTCGTTATATTACTGCCATCCCAAAAATTTTCTTCTTCTTAAGTTTTTTTACCATTCGAGTTGTTTGACTAGTTCTATCACTCTGACCTTCATAATCCGGCCTCTGCACTCCAACTATGTGCGCTTCCTAATTCTGTTTATTTTTTCTGTTTATTCGATACGATGTCATCAACAGGGCGGAGTCCTTCAACAGAAGAAGTGACCAACTACAGAAAGAATGAAAGTGATGAACGGCAGACTTCTCCATATCAAAACGTGGGAGATCAGTCAACATCGGCATCGACGTCCTCATCGCGCCTCTCACCTAATGCGCCACCCTTCAACCCCTTCTCTTCCGCTACTTTGACGTCTAGTGCTTCCCCTTCGTTCACCTCCTCACTTCCGCAAGATCCTCCAAGATCTGCTTTGGGGGCTGTTGTTCCTCGCCAGTCAGACAAGACAAATCCTCTTTACGTCAAAAACACGTTTTTGGAAGCAGGTCCGTTCTATTCAAGGATCTCTTCCTGTGTCATTGTTCTTCATCAGAGGGATTGGGCCTGCTCGCTAATGGCGCTTCTTCTGTGAATCGTTCTCGTACAGAGTCCTGCGATGCAATACTTGAAGGTTCCCGTCGCCATAAGTTTTCTTTAGTTCCCCCGGAAACGGTTCCTGAGGGGGAGTCTCAAGAGCCATCTGACGATGAAGCAGAAGAAGACCGTTTCGTTCTCGGCGACCATGACGTTCTTCGTTCAGCTCTGGGGAGCGACGTTGAAGCTTTGAGACAGAGACTTGCGTCTTGTGCGGAAACATCTGAGCTTTATGAGAAGCTTCTCCAGCTTCAATCTGAAGCGCGTGTTCTTTCTGCGAAGTTCCACAGTAAGAAACTTCATTCTAATAATCATTTCTCATTCTGAAAATTTGCTCTTATTGGCAATTAATATAATTTCAGCATTCTAGCAATTATTCTAATTTTGGCACTTATTTGCACTTATTCGCACTTATTCAAAATATTTTAGCAATGGAATTTCTCTTTTTCACTTTTCCTGCTCCACAGAGGAATCTGTAGATGCCCTCTATGATTACGCACTCTACGCACCTCCTCATGAAGGACCTTCCCACTTCAATGAGCCACCCTTCAATCAACCTGGGGACCCTTCCCCTCCTGCTTATCCATCCGGTCCAGAATCTGTATTACAAGGACACTTGCAACGTAAGCCTTATCTAGATGGTTTCAGATAACTGTGTTCTCCCTTGCAATTCATCCTTCTTCGTTCTTGTTCAGAATCGGCCCCTCAAAGTCCATCTGGTCTGCATTCGGAAGCACTGGCAGCCGCAATGGCCGGATTGCCTCCTGGTGTAAGCCATCACCCCCTTCTATCTGCTCCACACTGCTCTTTCTTTTTTTTCAGACCAAGCTCGTGAATGGTTAGTACTCTCAGTCTCTTCACTGTTTCATCTCCAATTGGTTTGTTGCATTTCAACAGGAAGCCTTCCCCTTGAAAATCTTCTTGCTGCTGATAGTCGTAAGCCTTCCAAGTTGATCCTTCTTCTGAATTCCTCTTTTTGCTCTGCTAGAATCACCACTGAGCTCTCCGGCTTTTGACCAGCAAATATTCCCGCCAGAAGCATCCGGAGCTAAATTTCCCTTCCACGAAACCAAACAAAATTCGAATCAATCACCCCAGTATCCTCCTCAACTTCAACAGTATGGGGGCGGATCCCCTCGCTACTCACAACAACGGCGAAGCTATCGGTTCAAACCCTCCCAAGAGAACAAATCCTCTGAATTTAGTGACGCGATCAGTGACTACAAAGGACTAAGCGATTCAGGTACATTTCGAACACATGCCACAGTGCCCTTCGCATCTCCGATGGCAAGGTTTTTGCCAAGGAATTTCTTGAACAACATTTTAATTTCTTCAATTAGGGTCCCCATCGCTGAATCCTTTATTACCATCGCCTGTGGCAGTTCCCAGTCTTCCATGTCCGGCACCTCCAGAACAGCTTTCAGAGAACACTGGCATGACCACCATCATGTTGCGCAATATTCCCAACAAGTACACGCAAAAAATGCTGCTTGATGCGATCAACCAGAACTTCAACGGATTGTATGATTTTTTTTACCTTCCCATTGATTTTCGTAACAAGTGTAATGTTGGGTATGCCTTCATCAATTTCATCCACACACATTATGGTAAGGACGTCGTAATCATGGATCAATACTTGTTTGACTTGAACATAACGGCTGAATTACTTGTTTTGTCTTCCTCAGCCGTTATGTTCAAGGAGCAGTACCACGGGTTGAAATTGGGTGCTTTCAAATCAAACAAAGTTTGTGAGGTGTCTTGGGGTCGTGTTCAGGGCCTTCAGGCAAATATCGAGCATTATCGGAATTCTGCTGTGATGTCCATTCCAATAGCACAGTATAAGCCAATGCTTTTCAAGAATGGCGTTATCGTTCCTTTCCCTCTTGCTGATGGGCCGCTACCTTCTGTCAAATTAAGACCACAAAAGTGTTGAAGCGCCAAAAGGTCGAAAAACGACGAAACAATGGAAGACACGGACGTGTTGAAATGTTGAAGCCCCCAAAGCTTCTTTTTATCTTCGAATGGGTTCACGTGCGTGACTCCTTTCTTTGAATCATACTCTATATCTTTTGCTGTGTCATGATTTTATGTCAATTGTTCTTGGTATTGTGCGATGATGCAATTCTTGTCAGCAAATTCATCTTGTCTGCAAATTCATCTTAAGGTGTTTTATTACATGTGCAGCACAGACTAAGAAGGATTTTAACCATTGCCTTGGCAACTGTTACTGACACTGAACTGGTTGGTTGGCTGATTCTTGGCGATTTTCACAAAATTCAAGAGGGAAATGAAGCAATTCACAAGACTTGGAAGAGCGTCAAGTTGAAAATTGCTTGGTTCCTCTCTAGCATCATTTTCACGACGCTGTTGTATTTTCCTTCTTGTCTGTTTCTTTTTCCTCTGCTTTCTTTCCTTTTTTTCCTTTTTCTTCAAATTCTTCGGGATGGCAAAGACGGTGAATATTGTAGCGCAGAAGTCTTGAATAATCTCGAGCGACACTTAATCCGCAGAAGACCTTCAAAAGAAACAACAAACATATTTTCGCGCTCCTATTTTCAAACAAATTCTTACATTATTCACCTCGACAACAATCGAGTAGTCTGATGCTCCTAAATTCACTTTGTATTTTTCACCAACCATTTTTCCAATTTCTGCAATGACGTCATCACGATCCAGAGTTTTCATTCCAGCTCGTCTCTCAAATTGAACAGACCATGAGCTCCCCGACGGCACGATAAACGCCGGATTGATTTGTTTAGGAGAACGAGAACTTGATTCTCCTTTTGATTCTTCTTCTTCCTTTGTTTCTTCTTTCTTTTCGGCTTCCTCATCATCTTCGAAATCTTCAGGATGCAACGCTAAGGCGCTCTCAGGAAAATACGCTAAAATTAACGATTTGATCGTCCGCTTGAAGTTCTCTTTATGTGGAGGGCAAGTCAGCTCTATTGGAACCATGCGACTCATAAATCTGAAATGCAAAACAGTCAGATCTTGATTGAGAACATTAACATTTGACCTGCAGGAAATTTTGGCCTTTTCCTCCTTATTGGAGTTTTCATCTCCTTCTTTTGAGACAAAAGGATTTTTCGGAGCGATTTTGTCCAACAGACGGAACGCAATTTCATTTGGAGAATCTTCTGTCGAACAAAACGCGACAAATCCGACGCCCTGATATGAAAAGACGTACGAGAGACGTAAGACGAGAGACGTAACACAAGAGACGTAACCACGCTGCACCACGGGTCGTACCTTTGTTAAACAATTCTGGGGTATAAAACGCTCAGACTCCTTCTTCAGTTGAGCGAGTTCTTCATCCACTGCATCAGACACCTCAACAGATTCCACTACGGCGCCACCATCAGTCTAAAAGAAGGAATATGGTATCATTTAGAAATATGGGATCATTACAAATATGGGATCATTAGAAATATGGGATCATTTAGAAATATGGACGTCATAGTATAGGAATATGGCTATTCAATCCTACTTCCGCTTTCAACACATTCAGCGCTTCTCTTATCGCTTCTCTCGTATAATTTGAAGATCCAGCAGTGATCAACAAACCACGTCCATTATTCCTAAGGTCTAACTGTCGCCTCCTCTGCAATAATGACTTCAGACACGCTTCCACTTCATGCTCACCTTCGACGTTCCGAAAGATTCTTTGGGGTAGAATCGTTTCCTATTTGGTCGAGTTGTTGCATCAGCCATTTTGAACAACAGGTCCCTAGCCTACACTCGCTGGCTGATGGTGTCTGCTTCAGGTTTTGGTTCATCAACGCGCTTAGCGAGCAATGTTTAGGAGTGCAAAAAGATCTTTACACAGAAAGCATCAGAACCAGCATCTAGCCATAATCTTGTTACTCGCTCTAGGCATAAGCTGGTTACTCGCTCAAGCTTGATACTCAGCGACTTGCTCTTCGAACAGAAGCATCCCTCGCAACATTTGGTTCAAAGGTTGAAACTGGTTGCCACACCGAAATGCGCGCAATAGGGGGCGTCCCGGTTGGCGCTGCCAGGATTTTTTTTGAACTGTGCAACCCACACTTCACCATGCTCAGGGGACATCAGACATCGCAGTTTCTAACAGACGTTCCATTTCGGGATCATCAATCTTCAAAATATCCTCTTCAGGTTCGGTGTGTGTTGCATCGTCGCTCGGAACTAAACATTCCCGCAAGCGCTCAATGAGTTGAAGCCTGCTTTTCAGCTGCCTTTCAAATTGCGCAACAACTTCATCGCGGGCTTCCCAATCTCGGAGAAGAGTCAAAATGTGTTGAAGATTCTTGTGCAACTGATGGAAGAGAATTGCAGGAATTGATTTTTAAAAATTCAGGATAAGTTAAGGATTAACGGAGAATAAGATTGTACCTTAATAATGGAGCGCAATGGGGAACTGGATCCCGAAGCTCCAGGATATCCGCTCTGACACAATAACGTGAATGTTGGAAACAATATTTAGAAGCACATGAGGCTGAGAAGCATTGATGGTCCATATTTCTATCCTATGCATCTACCTGCGACAGGTTGTCAATAAATGTCAACATTGTATCAACCAATTGATCGAAAAGTCTTTGAAATTCACCTTTTAAATCTGAGAACAATTTGAAATTAACAATATTGATTCAAACAATACTAATTAATTACCCTGAATATTTGAAAAAAGCTTCGTATCCGAATCAAGTTGGGGCAGACCGGCAACTCCAGGCTTCTCATTCTAAAAATGGATTGAGAGACACAAATATGCGCGATTTCACAACAAATATTCGATTTTCAGAACTATCAAAAAACACAATAGATGTACTCTCAATACCTGTACGGAAATTCTTGGCCATCCAAAACATGTGAATGTTCTTTCAGGTTGAGGGGGAGGCTCTCGTTTAATTGAATCCTCTAATGTTTTGAATTCGGTGTACCATGGAGGTGGAGGTGGATATGACTGTTGAATCACGGAATCTCCGGTAGAAGTGTTCATCCGTGCCTGCAGTCAACAGATTTCTAAGTGAAGGCCTAGGCCCCCTGAAATTCCTTCGCCAGTTTGCAATGTCTCGAGTAAATGTAAGTTCAGTAGGATGATTTGAATGTTTACAAATGAAGTCTTTAAAATGTTTCCTTTGTTCCCAATGATCTATTTCATCTGACTTGCTATCCTTATGATGTAACCTCTCCGACAGACCTCGCTTTGCTCAGGAGTTTTCTAACGCTTCCATATCCGTAATTCATTCTCATTTCGTAGACGACGGACATTAAAGTGTCGTCATGTTGCCAATCTTCATTTTTAATTTATAGCATCGATCGTCGTAGAGAAGCATGAACGAGATCATCGAAGGACTTTATCTTGGAGGACTCGTAGATGCGACGAATTCAGAAGAGCTGACTCGACGAAACGTTGGTGCAATTGTTACATGTTGCACGTTCCCGGAATTTCCAGTATGTTCATCTTCATAGTAATCATTGAGGGTGTATCGCAGTCATTGAGGTCATCTTCATAATAGTCATTGATGGTTTATCATAGTTTGTTTTTCTGAATCTGGAAATCAATTTCGGTGATTTTTTCAGGATGCTGCGCTTCTACCTTCCAGGGACTATTATCGAGTTGAGATTGAAGATCGATCAAGTGAACCGATTGATTCATATTTCTATCAGACAGCAGAATGGATCGATCGACATGTTATAAAGAAGGAGCCTGTTCTCATCCATTGCAAGTACGGCTTGATAGGAGAATTTAGTTGGTTCTAACTATTCGTCCATTATAACGAGTCGATCTCTTCACAAATCCTAATTTTGAGAAAGACAAATCTGTCTATACAATGGGTTGATTTGTTTTAGTTGGACATCTCTGTGTCATCATCATTCAAGAGATCAGTACTTTCATGAATGAATCTCTACAAATCTTCCAGAAATCGTTTTAATTGTCTTCCTGCAGATCTGGTGTGAGTCGATCCGCTACACTCGCTATTGCATACCTTGTTATAAAAAAGGTATTCGTTAAAAATCTCTTTTAAATCCGATTTTGACGAATTTCAGAATTTCGATCTCCAAGAAGCGTTCTTTCATGTTCGGACAAAACGTCACGTCGTTTGTCCCAATCCGGGTTTTATGACGCAACTTTGCAAGCTTGAATTAGAGCTTGGTGCGTCTGAGGATGCAGCAACGTTACCAGTTCCTGCTGAATCAAAACCCATCAAAACTGTAGATTGTTTATCCTCAACGCCTCCTAAATGGTGTTCCCAAGAGTCGACTAACTCTAAAAGTGAAACTGAAGGCGGCATGTCGTCCCAATCGACCCTTACAGATATTCAAGAAGTGTCAGGATGTCTTTCATCCTCTCGTTCGACGGATGTTGGAACCCCTTGCTTGCCCAAATCAAAGAGTCAGACCTCTTTGAGTTCTCATTCTCATCCTGTTTGGTCTTCGCGCTCCTCTCTCACTGTCGCATTTCCTGTTAAAGTTTTCGACCAGAGCGAGAAAGGGCCAGGGTGGGCACCGTGTTATCCGAGAACTGGTGAGCTATACAGAGGGCGCTAGGGGGTGATCCGTCTCAAAGCAAGGCACCAATTTCACAAAATGCTAATTTCGTTTTCAGAGATTTCATCGGAAAGAACTCCACCACAACAACTAGATTCAGATCGGCCGCGATTTCGCCATTTAAGACATCGGGAAATTGTTGGACCGAAAACGAAAAAAATGTGTCACAGATACAGCGAGAGCGATGCAGCAGCAAGCAACGAGACAGCTGGAGAATGTCGGAAGGAAGTTAACGAAAGAAGTGAAGCTTCTGACTTCGATGGCCTAGAGACGGAAAAAATTCCTTCAACTATGGCTAATCCAGCAGGGCACCCTCTAAGCAGCGTTATGAAGGCAATTCCCCCAATTGGTAAAATCGGTCGACGGAGAAGAAGACGAGGACCAACAGTCTGTACGCAAAAGTACCTCGATTGGTACATGAGTAGCTCAGAATGCAGAGCTGATGTCCCAGACTTGGATCCTTAGATGTTGCAGCTCGTTTTATTCCATCAAACTATTCGTGAGCTCTTTTTTCCAATCGACTCAACAGACTTTTCCTCTATTTTGCGATATTATTCTGATTCAAACAGAAAATTTTGAGTTCAATGAAAAACACATTCTTTATCAAACTGCGTGAAAAATTAAGATCTAATCTAGGGTTCAGCTGTCCAGTCGAAATAAAGAATGAATGTAGCCATTTCATGGGGACCAATTTGATGCATTACTCCTACAAAATGCAAAATGAGTCAGAAATGCAAAATGAGTCAGAAATGCAAAAATGAGTCAGAAATGCAAAAATGAGTCAGAAATGCAAAAATGAGTCAGACATGGGAGATAACCTAAAAAGAAAATCCCACCTGTCGAATGGTTCTCTAACGAATTGATTCCAGATAAGGACATCGGATCGGCGTGCATCAATTGTAATGGCGGGAAATTCTGAAACGTTTTACCAAAGTCCAGGGCGATTGCATCAGCACCGAGATTGCGACAACGGAAAAGGAGAGAGAGGGAGGACTCTTGAGAAGAAGAAAAGGGAATGAAAGGAGATAACGTAACGAGATCCAATGCTTCTGGAAGATCAAGGCTGCGCTGAGACTTGTTTCCAGAAAATTCTGATTGTTGAGTGAATATTGATGTGGGAGCGTGCGCAAAAGTGAAGATGGGTTCGTTGTATAATGTTGATTCCAATCGTCCGGTCATCGCTATGGTCGTGCCAGCTGAAGCGGTCGTTACAGAAAGATGAAATCCTCCTTTCACCCTGATTCCTTTCCCATCACTCCGCTCTTCAGGAATTAGATCCTCAAAAGGTTCGTCAACACCTTTATAGTCATCATCCAACGTTCTGCTCAAAGAGACCATTTCACTATCGATTGCAACACGCAACTCACAGGCGATGAAGCATCAGCTCCAACTCTCCGTCGCGCAGGCTACTCGCGCCCACAGAACGATCAACTAAAACTGTCATGCGACGATTACTGGCACCTGAATCTTGGATGGATGCCGTTGTGGTGACGGGGTAGTAGTTTGACGCCTCGTATTCAAGTCCTTTCAGCTGGCTGTAATTATACGACATCCGGACATTTCTTTGTCGTTCCATCATGAAGTACCCGTTCGAGTCAGTACTGAACATGCCATTTGTGTCGAGGTCTGTCGCGAACTTCAAGATTACTTCCTTTCCAACCTGTGAAGGTCACGTGGGATGGGATTAGTCGACGTACAATCCTTTCCGGGTGAGACATTCTCTCTTACTACTCTTACTTGATCATGCAAATCAATTGGCCCCACGCTCCAATCGAGTTTTAATGTTTTTTGATTTTGACACAAAGAGAGTTTTAAATAAACAGGACTTTGCTCTGGATCTATAGAAAGGGGAAACGTCGCGGAATCCATTACTGAGGAATGAAGGAAGATCACAGATTCACACAATAACGGAGAGGTGTTATCAACGCGCTGAAGGGATCTGATTTCGATGGAGGATCCCGAATGCATGTATGGGATACCATCCATCATTTGGTCGCCAGGCCGAAGATGAAGTACAGAGACCAATGGGGAAGAAAATCGGACTCCGGGATTTGGTATAGTTGAGTTTATGGCGCACACGGAACTCTTGTCGGGACGAAAAACGTAATAGCCTGATGGTTGGTCTATAGAATGAGAGGATTTGTACCACTCAAATCCATGCGATACACGGATACGAATCAGTTCTCCTCTGAGTGATTCTGATTGAATCCATGATATACCTATAAAAACAAAACAGGAATAAGCAAGGATGCTTGTTTTGTTTCTTGTTCTATTTCGACAAATATAACTTCTTATTCGGAAATAGTTCTCACCCTTCGATGTGAATCCGACAGACATGAACTCATTCTGGATTACTTGTTCGCCATCTGAGGGTTCGAGCTTGTGCCATCGACCAGTTGGAGTTCGTTTTGATGAACGACTTGATTTCTTGGACGAATTTAATTTCTCTGAATCTTGCGTGTTAATTCTTTCAACTAATGACTCTTCAGGCGAGTCTTTATCGTTCTGAAAAGAATCCATTAAATGAAAATCGACTCGGAAGAAATGAAATTCCAGAGGATGCAAATCGAAGAGTGGAAGATCAATGATACAATTGAGTGACTGATTAGTGGAAAATGGATTGGGATAAACAGAAAAAATGTCATCAATCTGTTGCCATGAAGAATTCTCAGTCAGTGACTGGGGAGATCCTAACAAGCGGAAGAAACGCAGTTCGAGATCTTGCTCACATCGCACTGGAAGAGTCAGAGTCTGGCAAACAAGAATAATCATTCGACATCCAAACTATCGACATCCAAATAGTCGACATCCAAATAGTCGACATCCAAATAGTCGACATCCAAATAGTCGACATCCAAATAGTCGACATCCAAATAATCGACATCTTACAGAATTTCTGGACCAACTTAAAGGGTTGAAAACACTAAAAACGAGCGAAGAAGGAATTCGACTTGTTGAATAGTTTGAAACGATTGACTCGATAGGTGAGCAAATGGAAATATTGAAAAGAGGGCACTCGGTAAATTGAAGTTCCTCCGTATTGGTGTAATCATAAATTATCGAAATGAGGGTCTGAATAATAAAGCCGAAGATGTGGCCACAATGAAGAATCAGGAGACAACTTACGTTATAAGCTCTATCCTGCGAATTTGATAATCGCTTTGAATAATCATTGATAACATGTTTTTTAGAAGTTCCTGTTATTGCATCATGATGTTGCAATACAGCAGTGGTCTGGATAAACAATCAACTGATAGAGTGATAATCATCAACTGATAGAGTGATAATCATCAACTGATAGAGTGATAATCATCAACTGATAGAGTGATAATCATCAACTGATAGAGTGATAATCATCAAACTGATAGAGTGATAATCATCAACTGATGGAGTGATAATCATCAACTGATCTTACCTCGTGGACTGCAAACAATGTGTCATGGACTCGTGATGAACTGAAATCAGGAAGCTTCAGCCTGAAAAACAAAGAACCTCAAAACCAGGTTGTTCGAAATAGAGACGACCTGTGGAGACTGATCGCTTTATCGACTGCATGCTTCAAGGTGCTTACAACTCGAACAAATCCTGAAAAACGGTAATTTGATGGAAAGTATAGTTTCATTGCCCTACGCTTAAGATTGGGACGGCTGCTGTAGAAGCCGGTCCAATAGGAGCCCGGACGATCAGAATAAGGGAAAAAATCATCGTTACTTGGTTTGATTGGCAGTTCATCTTTGTGGCTGAGAACAGAGTTGTAAAAAAGTGAAGGTGTTGAGTAGAATAGAAAAACTCCGGTTTCACACGCTCTGAGAGAAACAAACATTTTGGGCAAAACATTTTGGGCAAAACATTTTGGGCAAAACATTTTGGGCAAAGCAAAACATTGCAAGAGCGGAACTTGCGTACCTTTCATTGACAAAATGAATTAGTTGATCGATAAAGCGAAAATTGTATTCCGCGGATTGGAATGTGAAATCAGATCCCATGGGAATCAATACGTGGTTGAGCCTGAAGAAGAGAAGAGAGAGATTCCGCATCAGAATACGTGAAAATACTTGGAAGAAAATACCTGGAAGCATTTGCGTATCTCTGATTGAAGACATCCAGAAATTGTTGAACCCTCCCATTGACATTGAAGTCATCCAAATATGGATCAGACTGCGAGAAAGTAGGCAAGATGGGGGGAGGAGATCGATTGGATCACCTGAAAGCCGGGATCAGGGCAAAGGGAGTCAACGCAGAAGGATTGCGGAAACCCGTAATGTTGCCCAAGAACAGAAAACAAAATTGAATTCGTCGGACAAGACGAAGAAGAACAAGAAGATGAATAAGAAGGAGGAAGTTCCCAAATCATGTCCAAAGACTTTGTTTCTATTCGGAAATCGCGATCCTTTTAGTAGAAAAGGAGACACTTGATCGTTTTCAGAGAGATTGTTACACCATTTTGTTTAGGGAATATTGTCACATTTATGAAATCCATACCTGAAAATCAATTCTTGCTGTTACGATTCCATTAAATCCAAATTGCGTCGAAAGCCATGCGTGGAACAACGAATGACCGAAGGGATCAATTTGCCAGCCTGAAGAATGGACTCCATATGGATAACGCTTCCAAATGCTCTGCTGGTAGTAGATGCTGTTCTAGTGGTGCTGGGTAGTCGATGCTGTTAAAAACTTTCATTACCTGAAGTTGGTGTTACGTTGAATGCAGAGTTCACAAAACCATGTCCCATCGCCATCTATAGAGTCAAGGGAATCAAGAGTGCTGCAGGCTCGACATACTTGATCTATCATCTCAACATAATGTGTTGAAGCCTCATCGTGCATCACCCAACCACCAGAAACAATTTCTATCGATTTATTCTGGATTTGTTGTCGCAGAAGTTGGTGAACCTCGGGCGTCTGTTGATTCCACCATCTCCATAAAAACGCGACTTCGACAATACTGAATTTTCGATCCCGTCGCTTTCCCCACACATTTGTATAATATGGATCCAGCGATGCCACAACAGAACTCAAGGTGGAGGAAACATCAGCAAACTGAATCGAATTGTTCAAACCTGCGAAAAAAGCGGTTTTGCAAAGATTGACGCTATCGGTGTAGCCTGGAACTCAGAAAAGGCTTGCCTGCAAAATATTGGTCTACGGTCTTCAGCCAGCCAACATCTAAGGAAAACAAATCAGCGCTCTTCTCATTAGAGATTTGTTACCTAAATGACTATGAGCTGCTAGATGTCCGTAAGTAAAGTTCGTGAAATGCTGCTCTTGGCAAACGTCTCGATACACGGGCAGATCATGAAGATCATGAATTTCCAAAGCAGCTAAGTTGAGTGGGGAGCTGTTTGCGGCGAAGACCAAAGAAAAAGCAACTCCATAAAACAAATTCATCATAAATATTCATTCTGTTCCTATACGAGCAGGTTTGAGGCTGATTGAGATCAGTTGAGGCCTGAAGGTCTCTGTGGAATCGAAAAACATGAGAAAAAAATAACATGAAAAATTAGGCAGATGCTTCCTTCTTCCGTAATTGCTCTTCAATCTCTTCAATAGCCGCAGCTTCCATTCGCTTCTTTTGATTCTCTTGATTGCGTTTGATCCGTTCAAGTTTTCGTTTCGCTTTCGCCAAACGCTTCCTGACAACTTAAGTGTTAACCTTAGTGAGCGAGAGATGAAATCCGACCCAATAGATTATTATCTCTCTCCAATTTCCAGGCGTTTCACATTTCTATCTTTTCACGTTAGATACGTCTCCTCCTCAAAATCATATCCACATACCTTTCTTCATCAACCCATCGAAAGTCATCGCCCCTCATAACACGCCATCCGATAAACATGATAGAGAAGCATCCAATAGAGAAAATCAACCGAGACACATTGCCACCCGTATTTCTGTTGAACAGTTGCGGTCGTCCTCTCATAAATTCATGAAATCGCGCCCTTCCAGTCGTGAGAGGATCAGGAGCTCCCTTCGGCCATTCGTAGTCTTGTGGTTGAGCAATTCGGGGACGATAGATTTGAAGTTCTTCCCACTAAAATGGAACACCAAAGATAAGAAGTTCGCTTTCATGATGAACCTCCATTTCGAACATAAAATCAACGCGCTCTATCCATTCATACAACAATATTCATGTACCTACATTTTCGAGAGTTTTTTTAGCCTTACTCTGCTTTTCAAAGATTTTTTTACTCCCAAAAATGTCTACGTATGGAACAAACCCACGCCGTGATCCAATCAGATCATTGAAGCTTGAAGGACGACTGATTGATTTCGACAAGAGAATCCCAAGAGCTTGATTCCGTGAAGACGAATCAATCCGACTCAAATTCGTCATCCTCAATTCTTAATAAACAGGTTTGAGACAAATGGACCAGATTTGATGAACGACTTCTCCGTCTTGGTTAATGAATGGATTCGTGATGATGAACAAACCAACTTCCAGTCGTTTGTAAGTAGATGGTGAAATGAATCAGGTTCATTGTTTGCTCTTCAGAAATCCACACATTCATTCTTCGTAAAGTTTTTGATTGTTTGTTTGAATCGCGTTTTTCTAAATCTCTCGTCTCTCCCTCCTTTTTCTGGTGCGCAATTTTTGGTCGAAGCTGCAAAACAGCTTGACGAGAAATTCTACCCTTCGGACTCTTCAACACGATCAAATCTCGCGACAAAGCACAGATATGAATCTGAAAATCAGATCCTTCCAAGTTTCGATGAGTGGGAAGAGTGGCGTTCTGCAATCTCTCCGCCTGATGAGAAAGAGTGGCGCGACATTGGATCCCTGTTCCGCGTTCAACTCCATTACGTTCGCGTTATGTCACGTCGACAGAGTCGGTCCAAATCGAAAACGACGACGAATGACTTACGAGACGATCTGATGTTCGATATGTAAGTCTGACGAGCTTCAGTCGTACAAGGTTGAATCTGATGACGTCGAGCTGTATTTCAACCTCCTGATACTGTGCGTGATATTGTTGTGTTCGTCTCCAGCTCGACGCAACTGTGTCGCATTTTATTTCTAGCCCTTCCTTTGCTTATCTTGAGTCAACATGGCCATCATGACAATCGCCAGGGAGAGTCCCAAGATTCAACGCCTCGACCAAGAGATTGTCCCAAAAGTCGAAAGGATTGTCAGGCGTCTCTCGACAATCCTCTTCATTTCCTGAGACGAAAGTCCTCAATGCGTCCCAGAGTCCCAATCTTCCAAGCCAGATCATCTTCATTGGGACATGGACCCGCCTGTCCCAAATCGTTCCAATCTGCAAGAGTCAGGATACGACATCTGCTGATCAGCCACTGGAGATTTGTATTTGTTATCTTGAAACTAGAGGGTTGCGATAAAAGTATCAATGAACTTCTTGAAAGTCCTTTTCAGTTTTGGATTGCGACACTTGAAATATTGGATCAGATGCAGCAGAACGAAAGAGGGACACATGAAATTGAGCAGTACGGGACGATGTTGGGAATGATCGGTGGACTGATTCAATCTCTAGGGGACGCGCTAGTCAGTGAGGGAAGATCCGTGAGTGAAGAAAAACGAAACGAATTGAGCATCAATGGATTGTTTGAAGCTGCGGAGGAGAAAGAGAATAAACAAATTCAGATTTCTGGTTTTCATTTGATCGAACTCACAATCTTCAATGATCAAATGATGAAATTGGGACAGATAATTAAAATAATGACTCTAGAGGAAGAGAATCGAGTTATAGACTCTTCATGTCGAGTGATTCATGATCTGCAGCAGAAATCAAGCGACGGTATTGGAAGAAGGCGAGAGAAATCAGAACGCGAAATGGAGTGTTCTGACAATTCGCGTTCTGACAATTCGCGTTCTGACAATTCGCGTTCTGACAATTCGCGTTCTGACAAGACGTGGGTGGAAGAGGAAGGTGAAGCGTTGCGTAGAAAGAGTTCGGTGTCCAAGTTATTGAGAGAAATAAGAGAAGATATTGAGATGTTGCAATGCTGTGGGTTTTGGAAGGGTCGCAAAACTGTCAGAAGAGACAACAGAGGATACGACAGTCCATTAAGACTGAGGGGAGAAGCATCTAGCGTAGAAGCGAAGCTGAAGAGACAAATGAATCAGAATAAAACACAAGTTGCGAGCAGTTTCTATGAAGAGGTTTGAAATTGATTGGTTTATCATTTATATTAGTGATGAATGATTTATCAGTGATGGCTGATTGCAAACAACTTGAAACTTGTCTACTCATCTATCATCTGTTGTTCATTCTGTAATTCTCTCTTTACAGGGAATTCGATGTTTCCAAAATCTTCCATCTCATGATATTGCAATGTCCCAACTTCTACCGCTGTGTGCTTCGCTCATGCATCGCAGTCGAGTTCAAAAAACTTCCAATTTTGAGCAACGGAGTTATTGAATCATCTCCAGGTGGTCGTGAATTTCATGAGCGTTTGGAAACCAGACTTCGAGGTAAACGGAAAATCTCTATCTGGAGTGTATTGGAAGCTGGTCTCTCAATCAAGCCGTTGTGGTGACTTTCAGACGCTGCAGACGATCAATCGCTTGTTGTTCGTCGAACTGCCTTGTGGGCGCGTTCTTTTCTCAGATGGTGTTCACTCGAAACTGAGCCAGAACTTCATCAAACCCTCAATGAAGGAGATCTCCATCTGATAAAATCTGTCATGAGTCGAATACATCTATTTAACGATGCGGATACAGACTCATCTGAATCCAAAATAATGGATCCACACAACGACTTACAATTCGTCTTAGTGTGTGACTTCACTCTGTTACTTCGCTATCTCAAACTCTCGAGCTTTCTCACTTCGGAAGCTTCTGTTTCATCTGAAGAACTATCTTCCACTTCTTCTCGTCTTTTCACTTTTGAAATTGTTTTCTCAGTACTGTCTCTCACTGCCATCCGCTATTCCTCCGATCATTCATTTCCGCTTATTTGCGACCTGCAATCCATTTATAAAACAAGCCTTCGAATATCTCCATCCTTCTGTAACCGCCTCTTTCCTGCGTCAAGTGCTTCCCAGAACGCCCCGCATCTTGAACTCTGTTGTGCTTTGCTTCATCAACTTGCTGTCGACCGTTTTACTGTTTTCGTGTCAGTTATTCAAGCTTTCGTTCTTGAGCTCAAAAGGCTTCTCTTAATTTTTAGCAATCATCCATCTTCCTCAATGTTCAAATCTTCTTCCGCAGACATTCTATTGGTTCTCTCAAATACATGCGACTGTCTCGTGCATATCCTTCTCGATTCCTCAACCAACCATCAGATCCTCAAATGGGAGAGTTCAGGCTCGTCCGTTTCTCTTTGGTCCGATTTCGACCAGACTCTCCCTTCGTTCTCTGGAACGCTCAGTCCTCACCCATTAGCCATTTGTTGTGAAGCCCTTCTCTCTTCATGCCTCTTTCTCGCATCGCTTCCGCAGCAAACGCCCCATTCTCTCGATCTGGTTGTTATTCTCATGAAGTCGTATTGCCGAATCACATTCCGAATTCTCGACATTCTAAAATCGAGCTTATTAGTATCAGAATCTGTTGCTCGCTGTATGCATCTGTCGTCCATTGTCAGACTTTTTTTTCATTCGATTCATCTTATGTTTTTCTTGGCCGTTGCCAGATTGTTGATAGCTGTCTTCCGAAGAATTGCTCTTCTTCTGGCATATCCGGCCAACTTCAATCTTGGTTCGTTGGATCAGAAGATTTCAGAGCAGCCCTGACGTCTTGCTCAGAAAGTTTGGGACTTATGAATCTGTTGCTGATTCAATTACCGTCACAAGATGATGATCAGTATATGGACACCAGGCGTTCCTTGGTGCCAATAATTGTGACTCCCGAGGGTCTCGTGAGCGAAAAGTCTTCGCGTCTTTCATCAGAAACCAAGCGGTCTCGACGTTCAGAAATATCAGATTCGAATTTTGATGAAAGTTTATTATGGTTGAAATGGACGGCAGTTGCGAGCTCTTCATGGGAGATCCAACCAGCCAATCCGAGTTTCAGGCGCAAGTGCAAGGAGGCCATCAATGTCAGACATGGAAGAGGGACCGAAAAAGAGACGACGCATAGACGGTTGGCCATCCATGGTTGTCGGAGTGTTGCAGAGATAAGACACTGTTTTGTCTGAAGGGTCCAAAAATGTCTTCAAGCCCTGGTGATGGAACCGTTCCCGACTATCGAAGTTCAGACCGTCTTAAGCAACAGAGAGTGTCATGGGAGTATAGATGAGGAGGATCTTGTATTCAAGACCGTTAGCATGCTGTCGGGTATTATGCGACATCTCTCCCTCGGCACTTACAGCTCCAAGCAGATCAGCCGATCTCTGTTGGGGTGCTTTGAAAATGTGGGTATGACGCCAATTCACGCCTCAGTCGCACCTGAAGAATGTCAAATGTCGGGCGGTGTTGATTGCATGCCGCTCTATCGCATTATTGATGAGTTGTCTACTAAGATGTCTATTCATTGTAACGCCCGAACCAGATCAGCGGAGAAGCGCCCAAGAAGCGCTCCCTTGATCCATCTAAGGCGCATTCCCTGCTGCCTCATCGATCAGTCAGTTACTGGAAAATCGATTCCGTTGGCAACTGATTCAATCAGGGATGGACAGAGACACTCATTAACGGAATCATCGAAATTGATCTACTTTGGTTTCTATCAGCACTTGTTGCGATTGATGAGTTATCAGTCCCATCATCTGTTATCTGATTCAACGCTCCATGTCCCCTATCATCGATTCTGATGGATCCATTGAGGCTCCCCCCCGTTGTTTCCATTGGGGGCTTTACAGATCCTTCACGGTCCAAGAGCTCCACTAACCGTCACCCAATCTTTCCGCTAAGCCTGATGGAATTCTATCAAATGGTTTGAAT